TTACCACTGCCTATGTTTCCGTTTCCGTTACCGTTACCATTAAATGATCCTCGCTTCCAGTTATTGTTTCCACTAAGGTTACCATTAGCGCTACCCCAGTTATTGTTTCCATTTTTATTACCGTTGAAGTCTCCAACATTGTCGTTTCCATTGGCGTTACCATTTAAGTTACCCCAGTTGTTATTTCCATTAGCATTACCATTGAAGTCACCAGCGTTGTTGTTTCCATTGAGATTTCCGTTACCACTGCCTATGTTTCCGTTTCCGTTACCGTTACCATTAAATGATCCTCGCTTCCAGTTATTGTTTCCACTAAGATTGCCATTAGCGCTACCCCAGTTATTGTTTCCATTTTGATTACCGTTGAAATCTCCCCAGTTGTTGTTTCCATTGGCGTTACCATTTAGATTTCCCACGTTATTATTTCCATTGGCATTACCATTGAAAGATCCAAGGTTATTGTTTCCATTGAGATTTCCGTTACCACTGCCCCAGTTGTTATTTCCGCTGTTATTACCATTGAAGTCACCAGCGTTGTTGTTTCCATTGAGATTTCCGTTACCACTGCCTATGTTTCCGTTTCCGTTACCGTTACCATTAAATGATCCTCGTTTGAGGGGTCTAGCTGAGACCGAAAGTGCTAGAGATAAAAGGGCAAGATAGGCAAGTCCGCTGCTTTGTACCATTTTTCTTTTTATTAGTTTTGGGAAAATCTAAATTATCTGTGCTTTTAAATCGAAAGTAGAGAAGAGTGGTTCTCGAAGTAGAGAGAATTTATTGTTTTTGTTTTTTGTTGACGAAGGTAATTACAGCATTTCTTTTATACCAAATTGTTCGCGTAGTAAATTCATAATTCGTGAACTTATTAAAGGCTTGCGAAAGAATTGATTTAGAAATCCATAAGTTACTTCATGTAAATGGCTGTGTCGTGCGGCAGTGTAGTGCGGCAGTGTAGATTGCCAAATTTTGGTGGCTCTCATTATTCTCATTATGGGAGGCTTTGTTTACTGGCTTAGTGCTATTTTCTAGAAATTTTTTTAGAAGACAAGCTAAGATTCAATAAGGAAATTTTCCTTTCCTTTGCCACTTTTAGTAACCGGCTAAGCCTAGATCGTTATTGGATCTCCTGAATTCACTGAATTTACCAATCCTAATCGAAAATTTTTTGCAAATGAATTTTGTGTGGCTGTAAACGAGAACAACGTATGATTGTTCCTTTTTTTTGTCATACTGTAATACATGTACCTTGATTTGACGACGACAATCGATATTTAACATATATTATTTGTGACTATTTTCATAATTGCGTGATCTGAACGTATTTTTTCACCCTATTCTAGCGCAAGTATAGAGAAGATCATGAAAAGCCTCTTTTGAAAAAAACGTCAATTTATTTGATTTATAACATGCACCAATCAGTGAATTAAAAAGTTGGATGTAATTTAAAGGATTATTCTATTTGAAGAAAGCTCTTTATGACAACGAAGTGAACTAAATATATAATTACACCAGACTCAATTACAAGCAGAATTTGTAATCAAGTCTTTGGAAATTTGGAAAATTTTAGTGTTCCAATGGTTTTATTGAGAATTCTCCAAAAATTTACAGAACTCCATGTTTATATTAAAGTTGGCAAATATACGTAAATATTATGATCCGAGACAACAAAAAAACATCATATTTTAGGTAAATTTTTATCTATTAATGCAAGTTTATTTGATAAATTAAATATTTACTTTCTCAAATTTTACAAGGTAATGATAAAATGGTTAAATTAATAACCTATCGGACAAGTTAGGAAAATCTTGGGAAACATCTAGAAATATTCCTCTCTGTGTTGATCTCCTAAATATTTTTCACCCACAAAACACGATTAAGATGCTATTTTGTGTTGAGCAAGCTTAACTAAAAATTTCATGCATTTTCTTCATTTTTAGAATTCAGAAAAAGCTCAAATTATTTGATCAATGATCTCTGTATTTATTATGTTTGCTTACAAATCAGCGTCATTTATTTTCGTTCACTAATACGTACAAGAGGTATCGTTCAGGAATTCTGGATGTTACAGAATACATGTAAACGTGTAAAACGCCACACGGATTACGTAGCATATGTTTCACCCTGTTTAATTTATTATTAAAGAATTTCAGCTACAAAGTTATTTTGTATGAAAAAAAAAGAAATGGAAATGAGTTCGATACCACGGAAAAACTCGTCAGAGACTTTATTCAATTGTCTATTAGTTTTTCGACAGTCTTGCCGAGTAATTGTGCAAGACACCATTTACATTTGCACGCTACAATAATAAACATGAAATTATTCCGAGTTGATTCGAAAGAGACATGGAGTATCAAGTTAGTCAATCACAGCTTTCGCGTCAAACAACCTTTAATTTCGTACGCCATTATGCTCCTAATGCAAAAGATCAGGTGCATACTTAGACAAATCATTGGAAGTTTCCTTATTATTAACTGAATCGACTCTTTTTGAATAATACCTAAAGAACGATCTAAGTAAAAATCATCGCAAATTTGGAAATAAGTACTTGTCATTCGATTCATTTGAAGGTCGTATTAGATTAAGGTGGAATTACAGTTGAAAAAAAAAATACAGCCGAAGCATTGCGACATAAGATGAATGCATATACATGTAGTAAATTATCATGGCACCACGTTCAGAATTATTTGCAAAGATCTTTATTCATCAAAAAAACTTGCGAGCTGTTGTTGAATTTATCAAAGTAACTTTAACTGACTTAGTGTTAATGGCATAATCCCAGAATTATCGGTTTGATTTAGTTTGTTTAAGAAATGCGTATCATGAGCAATGTTCGAAACTGCTATAGCTCTCAATTCGGTCTTGTCAAAGACTCTATTAGAGGAATCACCAAACTGGTTGCAATACTGCCAATAGATTCGTCTAAAAAAATATTATGTAGCCAAATTGGAAACAACGAACCTTTATAACGAGTCCGGCTAGCTAATAGAACTGCTGGTTCATTATACGGTACAGTCAAAATTGAACCTTCTTATAACGAACATAGGCTAAAACGAACTTTAAATTTTTAAATTTATTATTAATATTCAGAACATAATAAATTTCTTATAGCGAACTTTTTATTCAATAAAACCGCTAGTTCGTTATAAACAGTTTTGATTGTAAACGGTTTGACTATGCGTAATTGATACCTATGTTAAACGATTTTTTTGTGTTTTCTTTCGATAGCAATATAGCCAAATCGAACGGTTATTTTTTGCAGCTTAATTCTTGGCAACCCCAATTGATAATCATGTATGCGCAGATGTGGCTTTTTGTTACATGTATAATCCTAAGCCATATGCTCTAAAAATACTGATACATGCATATGTACTAGTTTTTTCAATTCATTCTAATCCTCACTTAAATTATCAGTAAATTATTTAAAAGACTTGCCTCAAAAACTTTTTCATGATAAAAAAATCCATAAATTTTCTATTAAATTTAAAATGTCGAAGAAAATTATATTATTTATCGCGCTCTTCCTCGTTATTTCGGTAACACGCGCTTCTCCAGTTCCACTTCTAAATCCAAACTGTCACCCATGGGGTTGTTTGAAAGTTTTTTTTGCTCCATAACGCATGTACATGTGATTGAGACAGTACAACTAAATGATCTTTAAATAAACACTTCAAATTATTTAAAATTTTTGTTGCCATTGAACATCGTAATGGGCAATCATTCTCTTTATGTTGTTTCGAAAATAATAAAGACTTGCGTTTAATTATCAAAGTTCATATATGCATAAAGTTTGGCATTTCGTTAATAAAAAGTCACTTCAGTAAAATCAAAGAATATAGTCAGACCTCCTTTAAGAGCACGTCGTCAAGAGAAATAACGTGTGCATTTGGATAAAATCAGTGTATGGAGATAAGCATCCGATGCGTGCTCTTAGAAGGTTGCATTTAGAGAGGTCTGACTATAAAAATCATATCACTCACGGATTTTTCTTATGTGGTTGCGAAACATTCATAATAAATATAATAGATTTCAAATAAAATCAACTGTAGGTTATTCATTTCAATAAAAACCATCTGAAATTAAGATCGCTAAAAATGTCACTATTTGAAAATAACATTATTAAGTCCAAGCATAATGAGCAAGAAATGAAAATAAAAAGATTACAATTTCCACATCGATGATTTATATGCTCTAATTTTCTAGGTCTAACTCTTCCGCTCATTATTTCATCTTTTCATAAATTCGTGTGTAGATGGCCGACATATGCGCTTATGCATCGATATTCAAAATAACGCTAATAAAAATGATATCTAAACAAACACACTTTTTGTTCTTCATTGTATTTACTATACAATTTAACATCATTTCTACATATTATACTCATTGCAAGAAAGTTGCTGAGTCAATAGCAAATTTTTCACCAGGATCGATCCCGGTCCGGTCTGGGAGAAAGACGGAGTCCTTGGGACTGAGACCAGATTGGACTGGACCAATCCAACTTAGGAAGAAAATGTTCACCAACCAATACTTCTATTCTAATGGTTAAATAAAATTTCATTTTTGAAAATAATTAATTGGTTTTACTTCACCCATACATATAGACAGTATTTATGCACATTTATTAATATAGAAGAATGGTAATGCATGGTATGTTCACTGCCGGCCGGATACATTTAGCAAGCAGCCGACTAATTTCATATTTCATTAAATCAAATCTTTTTTCTCAGAAAATGATTCGGAATATTTTTATTATATAATGCAGCTAATTATTCCGGTTTGAGGGTAAAACTGAATATCCATTCAAAACTTGATATAATGAGATTGCATTATGCTAGATTTTTTGAGAACGAATTTTTCATCATAATATTGCGAGTTCTCGTGGTAAGCTATTCTCGAACTAATGAGCTTTTTTGTTTTGCCTCGAAACCCCGAGGTTTTTTATGTATTTAATATAATAATTCTGCATGTACTTTATGGGTAAATACATGCATAACGATAATGCTTAAAAAATTTAACTTGCATGCGTGACATCGAACATGTTATTATTACATGTAGTACAATTACATGTAATACAATATGTACACTCGGTGGTCAAAAGTCTGCAATCGGGCGATGATCGACGTAATTAAGGGGTAATTTCAAACGCTAATTGTGCGACAAGGAAAGGTTCAATTACGACGCACAATACTTCATTAGAAAGCTGAAATCTCAAGCTTTCAAATAAAATAAAAAACTGATGTCAAATCCAACCAATACTCGTCAAAATTACGAACTTACAGATTTTGAGCGCGGTAAGATCATCGGCGCTTGGAAGTGTGGTTTGTCTATGACGACCCAAATCTACTGTTCATACTATTATTAAGAGTTTGGGCAAACTACAGTTGCCGCCCGGAGCGGTAGACCACAAAAATTAGATGATAGAGCTACTCGAAGGTGAATTAATATTGTTAAAATGATCGACAACAAGCAGTTGACGAAGTTACCAAAAAATTCAATACTGTAACTGTTAGTTCCAGTGCTATACAACGTACTCTTCATGAATATGAGTTTTATGGTTGGGCTGGAGTTAGAAAACCTTTTGTATCTGAGGAAAACCGTCAAAAACGATTAAAATGGTGCTCAGAAAGAAAAGATTGGATTAGTGAATGGGAATTAGTAATTTGGAGTGATGA